CTAAAGGAACTTCTCTAGGCAAGAAACACAAGAGAAGGAAAAGACCTACAATAACAAACCCAAAACAATTAAGAAAATGGAAATAGGAATATACATATCAATAATTACCTTAAATGTAAATGGATTAAATGCTCCAACCAAAAGACATAGACTGGCTGAATGGATACAAACACAAGACCCATATATATGCTGTCTAGAAGAGACCCACTTCAGACCTAGGGACACATACAGACTGAAAATGAGGGGATGGAAAAAGATATTCCATGCAAATGGAAACCAAAAGAAAGCTGGAGTAGCAATTCTCATATCAGACAAAAGAGACTTTAAAATAAAGACTATTAGAAGAGACAAAGAAGGACACTACATAATGATTAAGGGATCGATCCAAGAAGAAGATACAACAATTGTAAATATTTATGCACCCAACATAGGAGCACCTCAGCACATAAGGCAAATACTAACAGCCATAAAAGGGGAAATTGACAGTAACACATTCATAATAGGGGACTTTAACAGCCCACTTTCACCAATGGACAGATCATCCAAAATGAAAATAAATAAGGAAACACAAGCTTTAAATGATACATTAAACAAGATGGACTTAATTGATATTTATAGGACATTCCATCCAAAAACAACAGAATACACATTTTTCTCAAGTGCTCACGGAACATTCTCCAGGATAGATCATACCTTGGGTCTCAAATCAAGCCTTGGTAAATTTAAGAAAATTGAAATTGTATCAACTATCTTTTCTGACCACAATGCTATGAGACTAGATATCAATTACAGAAAAGGATCTGTAAAAAACACAAACACATGGCGGCTAAACAATACACTACTTAATAACGAAGTGATCACTGAAGAAATCAAAGAGGAAATAAAACAATACCTAGAAACAAATGACAGTGGAGACACGACAACCCAAAATCTATGGGATGCAGCAAAAGCAGTTCTAAGAGGGAAGTTTATAGCAATACAATCCTACCTTAAGAAACAGAAAACATCTCGAGTAAACAACCTAACCTTGCACCTAAAGCAATTAGAGAAAGAACAAAAAAAACCCAAAGTTAGCAGAAGAAAAGAAATCATAAAAATCAGATCAGAAGTAAATGAAAAAGAAATGAAGGAAACAATACCAAAGATCAATAAAACTAAAAGCTGGTTCTTTGAGAAGATAAACAGAATTGATAAAGCATTAGCCAGACTCATCAAGAAAAAAAGGGAGAAGACTCAAATCAATAGAATTAGAAATGAAAAAGGAGAAGTAACAACTGACACTGCAGAAATACAAAAGATCATGAGAGATTACTACAAGCAACTCTATGCGAATAAAATGGACAACCTGGAAGAAATGGACAAATTCTTAGAAATGCACAACCTGCCAAGACTGAATCAGGAAGAAATAGAAAATATGAACAGACCAATCACAAGCACTGAAATTGAAACTGTGATTAAAAATCTTCCAACAAACAAAAGCCCAGGACCAGATGGCTTCACAGGCGAATTCTATCAAACATTTAGAGAAGAGCTAACACCTATCCTTCTCAAACTCTTCGAAAATATAGCAAAGGGAGGAACACTCCCAAATTCCTTCTACGAAGCCACCGTCACCTTGATACCAAAACCAGACAAGCATGTCACAAAGAAACAAAACTACAGGCCAATATCACTGATGAACATAGATGCAAAAATCCTCACCAAAATACTAGCAAACAGAATCCAACAGCACATTAAAAGGATCATATACCATGATCAAGTGGGGTTTATTCCAGGAATGCAAGGATTCTTCAATATACACAAATCTATCAATGTGATAAACCATATTAACAAACTGAAGGAGAAAAACCATATGATCATCTCAACAGATGCAGAGAAAGCTTTTGACAAAATTCAACACCCATTTATGATAAAAACCCTGCAGAAAGTAGGCATAGAGGGAACCTTCCTCAACATAATAAAGGCCATATATGACAAGCCCACAGCCAACATCCTCCTCAACAGTGAAAAACTGAAACCATTTCCACTAAGATCAGGAACAAGACAAGGTGGCCCACTCTCACCACTCTTATTCAACATAGTTTTGGAAGTTTTAACCACAGCAATCAGAGAAGAAAAGGAAATAAAAGGAATCCAAATCAGAAAAGAAGAAGTAAAGCTGTCACTGTTTGCAGATGACATGATACTATACATAGAGAATCCTAAAGATGCTACCAGAAAACTACTAGAGCTAATCAATGAATCTGGTAAAGTAGCAGGATACAAAATTAATGCACAGAAATCTCTGGCATTCCTATATACTAATGATGAAAAATCTGAAAGTGAAATCAAGAAAACACTCCCATTTACCACTGAAACAAAAAGAATACAATATCTAGGAATAAACCTACCTAAGGAGACAAAAGACCTGTATGCAGAAAATTATAAGACACTGATGAAAGAAATTAAAGATGATACAAATAGATGGAGAGATATACCATGTTCTTGGATTGGAAGAATCAACATTGTGAAAATGACTCTACTACCCAAAGCAATATATAGGTTCAATGCAATCCCTATCAAACTACCACTGGCATTTTTAACAGAACTAGAACAAAAAATTTCACAATTTGTATGGAAACACAAAAGACCCCGAATAGTCAAAGCAATCTTGAGAACGAAAAACGGAGCTGGAGGAATCAGGGTTCCTGACTTCAGACTATACTACAAAGCTACGGTAATCCAGACAGTGTGGTACTGGCACAAAAACAGAAAGATAGATCAATGGAACAGGGTAGAAAGCCCAGAGATAAACCCACGCCCATATGGTCATCTTATCTTTGATAAAGGAGGCAGGAATGTACAGTGGAGAAAGGACAGCCTCTTCAATAAGTGGTGCTGGGAAAACTGGACAGGTACATGTAAAAGTATGAGATTAGATCACTCCCTAACACCATACACAAAAATAAGCTCAAAATGGATTAAAGACCTAAATGTAAGGCCAGAAACTATCAAACTCTTAGAGGAAAACATAGGCAGAACACTGTATGTCATAAATCACAGCAAGATCCTTTTTGACCCACCTCCTAGAGAAATGGAAATAAAAACAAAAATAAACAAATGGGACCTAATGAAACTTAAAAGCTTTTGCACAGCAAAGGAAACCATAATCAAGACCAAAAGACAACCCTCAGAATGGGGGAAAATATTTGCAAATGAAGCAACTGACAAAGGATTAACCTCCAAAATTTACAAGCAGCTCATGCAGCTCAATATCAAAAAAACAAACAACCCAATCCAAAAATGGGCAGAAGACCTAAAGAGACATTTTTCCAAAGAAGATATACAGACTGCCAACAAACACATGAAAGAATGCTCAACATCATTAATCATTAGAGAAATGCAAATCAAAACTACAATGAGATATCATCTCACACCAGTCAGAATGGCCATCATCAAAAAATCTACAAACAATAAATGCTGGAGAGGGTGTGGAGAAAAGGGAACCCTCTTGCACTGTTGGTGGGAATGTAAATTGATACAGCCACTGTGGAGAACAGTATGGAGGTGCCTTAAGAAACTACAAATAGAACTACCATATGACCCAGCAATCCCACTACTGGGCATATACCCTGAGAGAACCACATTTCAAAAACAGTCATGTACCAAAATGTTCATTGCAGCTCTATTTACAATAGCCCGGAAATGAAAACAACCTAAGTGCCCATCATCGGATGAATGGATAAAGAAGATGTGGCACATACATACAATGGAATATTACTCAGCCATAAAAAGAAACGAAATTGAGCTATTTGTAATGAGGTGGATAGACCTAGAGTCTGTCATACAGAGTGAAGTAAGTCAGAAAGAGAAAGACAAATACCGTATGCTAACACATATATATGGAATTTAAGGGAAAAAAATGTCATGAAGAACCTAGGGGTAAGACAGGAATAAAGACGCAGACCTACTAGAGAACGGACTTGACGATATGGGGAGAGGGAAGGGTAAGTTAAGCTGTGACAAAGCGAGAGAGAGGCATGGACATATATACACTACCAAACGTAAGGCAGATAGCTTGTGGGAAGTAGCCGCATAGCACAGGGAGATCAGCTCGGTGCTTTGTGACTGCCTGGAAGGGTGGGATAGGGAGGGTGGGAGGGAGGGAGACGCAAGAGGAAAGAGATATGGGAACACATGTATATGTATAACTGATTCACTTTGTTATAAAGGAGAAACTAACATGCCATTGTAAAGCAATTATACTCCAATAAAGATGTAAAAAAAAAATAGTATTATCATCTAACAATATAATGCTATTGATTTATTGTTTTAATTTAAGGAACATATATACTTTTCATAAACATTTTGGAAAATACAAAAAAGGAGAGAAAGAAAGGCAATAACCTAAATTCCCACCACCTCCAGAAAACCACTAGTAACTTTTTTAGTGTATTGTCTCCGCTTTTTTTATGCACAAGAGTATTTCACTCTCTGTGTTGTGACCATACTATAGATAAAATTTTTCCTATTACTTTATAAAAATTATTTTCTTAAGTCATTGTGAGCTCTTGCTAAACACAATAGTTGCATACAAGTGTGCTATAGCAGATACTGATGTTTGCCTATCTAACAGTCATATTCCAGATTTTTCCATGCCTGCTGAATTTCAATGTTTTTAGGCCGACACCTCCCTTATTTGACTTAAGTAAATCTTAATTAATATTAAAAAATCCTGGTAGTTCCCTCTTGCTGGTAGTTGATTTAATGGCTATTACTTTAAAAAAAGTCAAAAGTTTTTTACTTTGACAATCAAAGTTCTCCATGACAGTAGCAGGTTGAATAATGGTCCCCAAAGTTATAAGATCCTAATACCCAGGCCTGTAAATGTTACATTATTTGGAAGATGGCTCTTTCCACGTGTGATTAAGTTAAGCATCTTAAGATAAGTGAAGTACACTGAATTATCTGGGTGAGCCCTAAATGCCATCACAAGTGTCCTTATAAGAGAGAGGCATTGCTTGCTTCCACAGCACATGTACTAAAATGGGAACAATAAAGAGAGATTAGCATGGCCCCTGCAGAAGAGTGACATGCAAATTTGTGAAGCATTCCATATTTTAAACAAAAGAGAGAGAAAGAGAGAGGCAAAGGGAGATTTCACACAGACACACAGAGGAGAAGGTGATACAAAAATGGAACAAAGAGAGATTTGAGCATTCCGTGGCCACAAGCCAAGGAATGCTAGCAGCCATCAGAAGGTGGAAGAGGCAAGGAATGAATTTTCCCCTAGAACCTCCAGAGGGAGCACGGCCCTATTGACGCCTTGATTTTGACCCAGTGATACTGCTTTTGGACTTCTGGCCTCCAGAACTACTGTGACAGAATAATTTTCCACTGTTTTATGTCACCATGTTTGGTGTCATAGAAGCTGTAGGCAAATACTGTTCAAACCCTTCTTGAAATGTTCTGTCCAATTCTGGTCGATAAGACATGGTCTATGGAATGGTAGGGTCTTCTTGGAAAGACTATCTTGCTCTTAAAAAGAAATACATGTGGGAAAAGTCTTATTTCTTCTGCCAGATGTTGTTGCACCTACATGTAACATTAGAACTGTGGAAGCCATGTCAGCCTGAGGACAAGCCAATGAGCCAAGGATGGGAGAGCAGAAAGATGAAAGACGGAACAAACTTGGGCCTTGGATGACATCATCAAACTGCTTTAATTAACTAGCCCTGGGACTTCCCTATAATGAGACTTCTTACATGAGATAATCTTCTTATGTGAATTAACATGATTCTTAAGCTGTCTTTAGTTGGGTTTTCCCTTACTTTCAGCTGAAAGCAACATACCAAATGCATGCATTAAATGGATTATACCATAATTCAGAAATTGGCAAACTGTCCCCCGCAAATAGCTGCCTGGTTTTGTAAATAAAGTTTTATTGGATCACAGCCTCACCCACGACCATTATCTGTGCTTTTTAGCATCACAACAGCAAAGTTAAGTGGTTGTGATAGAGACCAAATGGCTCACAAACCTAAAATTAGGCTATCTGATCCTGAAAGAAAAGGTTCACAAGCTTTTGCCATCCTTGAACACAGCCATTTTTTTTAATTGTTGGATATTGTTTTTCTAGTTTCTCCAAAAGTTGTCTTCTTTACACAAGTTTTTAAACCTGTCATTTGGCCATATTCCTACATATAAGACAGAGTGCTATCCATTGAGAAAGCGTCCAATAAGAACATAAATAAGGAAACAATTTACAATCATCTCCTAGATCATCTGGGATCTTATCAGAGTCTGCCAAAGATTGTAGTCAATGCGTGAGATTGCGTTTTCCACTTATAAATAAGTACAGGTGATTATAACAACTTAATTTAAAACTGCAGCCTAGTCTAGAAGAAGAACAAGAAAACAAGCTTTTCTTTCCCTATTTTAAGTTTAAATCAGCCAAACCAAACTTCCTCCCGGGCTGAAAGATGTTGGTGGAACTTACATCACAGTGAATGTTATTACAGCTGAGAGAGAAAGGACCCTGAACGGTTTCCAGTAGGCAAGCTTGAAGCACCCATACTTCACAGTTGAAACCTGTGCTGGGGAGATAACTACTATTCAGTGTAAAAGGCAGGACTCAAAGTGTGTCATGTAAATGGAACCAATTGTATATTTATTGATGTCTGACTCCATGCCAATTTTCTTTCTCTCTTAAAGAAAAAAAAGGTCAATTCTTCTTAGAAAGTTACCCCAAGCTGAGCTGTGCTCTGAAGGCACCTTCCTTTAAGGGATCTGGGTGGCAGGCAGTCCTACAGTTAGAACTGTGGCCGCACAAAAGCAGGCTTTGGGAGGGAGTCACTGGCCAAATAACCCTTTGAACTTTGTAGGAAAGTCAAGGTGCAGCTGCCCCAGCCAAACATTTCTACTTGCTTTCCTAGAAGCTGTTCAGGAGTCTCTTTTGGTGCAGAAACAACAAGATGGTTGCATCTCCTAAATTTCTGTGGGCATTTCCAGGTCGCCCAGGGACAAAACCCAGATAAACTGATGAGGTTCATAGGGGATCTGAATCATCCTTGAGGATGAGCCGCACCTTGTCCTTTTTTTCAGGAAGAGTCATCTAGGACGATCCTGGCAGCCTGGAGAGAGTCCAGAGTTAACAGCCCTGAAGGTAACACTCCGTAAGTGCTTAGGATCTGGTGATGCTCTTCTCACACACACACATACACAGTCAAAAGCAGCAAAAACATCACCACCAAATCCTCAGAAAAACAGCTAGATAACCACTGACAGCAATGTGACAGACTCAGAATATGAAAAATAGAGACAGATTTTCAACTCCATGAGTACTCAACAAGAATCAATAAAAGTGCTTTGGGAAAGCTCCTGTCTGGAACTTCCAGCCTATTCCGCAGTTACTTTCTTTCCAAAACATCTGATACAGGAGCCTTCTATTTCCTTTCCCAAAGAATGCTGGATGTATGTTAGGTTTTCCATATCAACTCTGCAAAACAATGACTACCGCCCCCCCCCTTTCTTAACTGAGATAGACGTTAAAATCTGTAAGTGAGGAAGCACTCATTTTATTGCAGGTTTTCAACCCTTGTAATATTTAAAGTAAAAATGATAACTCATAAATAACTGAAGTAAAGAAAACTTTCGACTTAAGATGTTAGGAAAAGAGCAGTTAAAACTAACACCTTTCCTTTAATAACACCTTTCCAGTTAACACCTTTCCTTTAATAACTTGGAAGTGTTTTGTACACGTTATCTGCTCTCTCACTTTAATTCTGATATACAGCCCTATAAAATGAGCTATCCAATAGCTACTGAGGCTCAGAGTGACTAAACGACTCATTAAGTTTGCATTGTTTTCTTGTTAACCATGATCATTATTAAAGTAGTCTATGCTTCTAAATATTTTAAAACACAGAAATTTAGAAAATTATTCATTAGTTTATAACTTGAAAAAACAACCTCAACCAAATAAAGGAGTCTGATTTGGCAAGGAGGCACAGATTTTACTGTAAAACAGATGTACAAAAGTAGCTGGAGCTTCAGAAAAGTTACTTGGCCCTCTGAGCCTCATTTTCTCATCTGTAAAATGGGCATAACAATATCTAACAAGCAGGATTGTTATAAGAATTAGAAATAAAATATGCAAAGGTTCTGGAAAATGGTAAAATCACAATAAATGGTAGTTATTCACATTTTCTTCCAGGAAGGCATTTAGATATCAGTTGTTTGCATTTTATATGTAATTTAAAGTATTTATCATATACAATGTTCTATCACAATCACAAACATTTTGACATATACTCTTTATACACGAACTCTTTACAGATACTACTGCCTAATAAAAAGTGTATATAGGGGCTTCCCTGGTGGCGCAGTGGTTGAGAGTCTGCCTGCCGATGCAGGGGACATGGGTTCGTGCCCCGGTCTGGGAAGATCCCACATGCCGCGAAGCGGCTGGGCCCATGAGCCATGGCCGCTGAGCCTGCACGTCTGGAGCCTGTGCTCCGCAACGGGAGAGGCCACAACAGTGAGAGGCCCACATACCGCAAAAAAAAAAAAAAAAAAGTGTATATACCATCTTCCACATAAACAGTCCCTATTGTTGGGCATATAGGTAGTTTTCCATCTTCACTCTTAAAAATAACACTGTGATGAAAACCTTCACGCAAAAGCTTCATCCACATTGAATGCTCAGGATCAGTCTCCAGAAGTGCAATTACTGGGTTAAAGGTCCATGGTCCTTGTGTTCTAATTGCTTTCTAAAAGGATTATACCAATTCTGACAAGCAAAGCCGTTGAGAAGACAGTCTTCTTACCTCACTATCACTAGTCTCTGTCTCCATCACTCTGGAAATCTGTGACCACAAAGAGAACATCTCTCAGGTTTTGATTTATATTTCCTTGGTTGTGAAGTGAGGCTGAATTTGTCTAAATATTTGTTAAGTTTCTTTGCAAATTAATTGTTCTTTTCTTTTCCCATCTTTGAAGACTTAATGTTTTTCCTATAGATTTGTATGAGTTCATTATTGATGTGAAAAATGTTAACCTTGCTGAGTGACCTGCCACCTAAATCAAACGGGCTGGGACAAACAAGACAGCACTGACTGCGAGGGAAGGACACTGAAGAACCTCCTGGGTTCTCAGAAAAACTGGTCACATGATCTCAACTCCCTCAAAGTGTACAGCTCTGAGAAAGCAAGAAAAGAAAAGAGGAAGAGAATCAGGTCACTAACATTTGTTGAACATTAAACACAACTATTCAACATTTTACACCAAATATTTATTGAGCAACCATTCTATATCAGGCTTTGTTCTAGATGGGATATTACAATGGAGAAAAGAGACAGGGTCTCCACTCTCACAGAGCTTATTTATTGAATGCTTCCTGAATGTCAGGTGCATTTCCAGAGGCCTCCTCGTCTGCTACCTCAAGAACTCTATGTGGTAATTATTATTGTTTCTATGTTTTTCAAATATGAAAACTGAGTCTCGGATAAGTTGGTTTAGTTGGTCAGCAGCAGACAGCAAGCAGTTCAGTGCTGGGGTCACGACTTGAAACCAGGCACCCAGGCTCCAAAGCCCACATGTTCTTACTATCCTAATAGATAAGGTAAAACTTCAAATACAGGCAGTCTTTGTGCTGTAGTGCAGTACTGTAAAACTAACCATGCAGGCTGAAACTGTACAAAGTGATCTTAATGATCACTGAGAAAAATTACAATTGTTCGGTGACCTTTAGAAATTTTTGTCAAAATAGTAAAAACTCTCTGTCAGTTATAAATGTATAATGAAAAAAATAATAAAGCAAATATTTATTTAGCACACTGTAGTTTAACATATTATTTAGTATTAAAGTGTTTTATTTCTTTGTAAAAACGTTATCTAGAGTGATTAGGACTGTGCTTGCCTTCTTGTCATATAACTTACAATACAGAGTAAGTATCTTTTCTATGCCTTGGTAAATTGTCAGTCTCTTCTCTAAATTTGGATGTTTCCACCATTTTATCCTTTGCACTTTTAATACCATGAAGTACCTGAGAGTCCCTTTAATGTGTGTATGTGGTAGGGGGTGCTGGTGTTATTTCCTCTGAGACATCATCTTTTTGTCATT